TGAACCACAATACCGACAAGTGATTAATAAAAATCAAAAGACCAAAGAGGTCACCTTAATACCAAAAAAAAAAAAAAAAAATTTTATTTAGAAAATAAAAGTAAATTAGATATGTGTTAAAAATAAATATTTTTTTTATCTATGTATAATTTTTTTACTAAGATAATCTATTTTGACTTCTTAAGTAAATATGTTTAACATAAAATTTACATGCACATATTTGTTGAAATGTTTTATTAAATAAAAAATAAAATTAAAAGTAGAAAAAAAATTAAAAAATTTTTTAAAACTTTTAATCTTATTTTTATTTAATAAAAGGTTCAAGAAAATGCATTTAACAAATATATATATGTAAATTTTTATATTAAACAAGTTTATTTAAGAAGTCAAAATAGCTATCTTAGTAAAAAAAAAAAGTACACAAAGATAAATAAAAATATTTATCTTTAACTCGTAATTAACTTATTTTTATATTAAGGTAATTTACTTTTATTTTTTAAGTAAAGTTGTTTAATGCATAATATTACATATAATAATCATTTTAAAATTGAAAAATAATTATTTTTGATGAAATTACATCTTTAAAATAAACAAAATTAACAAAATTTTGACTTAGTTTTTAAGTTAAAATTTTTTTTCTTATTTTGTTCTATATAATTGCAAAATTTAATTTTGTCAATTTTAAGTTATCTAATTAAATTGAAAAAGGTCTTTAGTTGATTGGACAAAGTATACTACGCCCAATCAAATTATAAGTTCAAAATTTTCAAAAAAAAAGAAATTTTGGTTACAAAATCACCTTTTATGTTCTAACAACAACAAAATTCTTTTGAAATTTTAGTATAGTATAGTATATATTCTATTAGATACTTATACTGTTTCAATGATGCTTCCATTATTTGATCGAAAACCGGGATTTTTCTTCGTCCAATAGGAACTATGAGGGGAATTTAGTAAACCCGTACGCCGTGGGGGTAAATAGATGTACCAAATTTCGACACGAAAATCGATTTCATAACGATAAAAACATTTAGAACAGGATGGAACCTGGGTTGCGAAATAGTGAAATCCGCTTTTTAGATTAGGTTAGGGTGAAATCCGCGTTTTATTATGTTTTTTATTATATAAAAGCGGGGTAGAAACGAAAGTTTAAAATAGTTTAAATTTTGCATCTGCCCAATAATTTTATTATTGGCCAGAAAATCATAATAAGCCGCCGGATAAACCCGTTATCAGGCATGCTGATACTGCCTTATAACTATTTATTATCTTAAATAATATTTTTTGGACTATTTCTACTACAAAGGCCCATACTTTATGTCGTTTTTTAATTGTACTTTTTATAACAATTATAACGATCTGATTTAATCAATGTTGATTTAGTGGTTATGCTAGAAAGATTAAGTGTAACGATTATATACAAGTGTAGTCTAGTTCAAATTACATATATGAGTGCTGATAAAATAGGTTTCATTATAATTTATTGGGATCGAGCATATATGCATTCGATTACTTATCTCGCTGATTAGCATTTAGGTGGTCGGTACCCATATTAAAAAAAATATCAAATACAGAAAAAGGTTAGAATGAAGTTAGAAACTGAAACTACCACTATTTTGCAAGACATACGATTCAACTTCATATAATTGCATAAGATCCTAGCTTTATAAAACTCTTTTATTAATTTAACCGGAATGATATATTGTACATACGTTGCATATTTTGGTATGGGTTAAGAAATAAAAATACGTAATTTGATTGGACATAAATATATGACCTAAAATGACCTAAAAATAATATGACCATTTATGACCTGGTCATAACCCATCACTAGCAAATAAATTTTATTGATCCAATAATCGTCTCCGTTAAAATGACGTTTCTAAATGATCTAATCAGGAGTTGAATATCGGAATTTTAATCAAATATCAGGTTTAATCCGACAGACATAAATGACACTCCCGGTAACGACTTGTAATTTGATTTTACAAGGAAAAATAAAGGTGGGTATTGACAGAAATAATTAAAAGTGGTATTACTGTAAGTAATCTGTCCGGTAATAATTTCCTGAGCAGAGCGGAGGAACTTAAGTCCAGACAATAGGTAAAAATAGGTAAGAAAAATTCTGTGTGGGTGGACTCCAACCCGGAGTGCAAAATTAGATTCAAATTTTAATCAGCATGTCATCAATTAACTTTTAGCAGTATATAACATATTTACCATCTTTAGCAGATATATACAATTTATTACATAATTAACTTTATATTTCTATGGTTTTAAAAAAATAAAATTTTATCAGCATTCAAATATTAGGTAGTTTGTCATTTTTAGCAATGATAATTCAACGGCATTCAGTATTATGTATTTTGTCACTTTGGTAATGATAATAAAAAAAAAGAATTAACCAGTATCACAACAATAGCATGATTATTAATGAATGAGTCAAATTTTTTATGTATTAAGCCATTATACACTATGTATTTGGAATTTAGATCAAGAGAATATAATATATTAGAAAGATGTTAATCGACTCAACCAATTACATCATATTAACTTTATTCATATTATTACATCATATTAACTCACAGCACTAAATCACCTCTAACAACTGATTTTACAAAAGTTAAAATTTTTATGATAGATAAGTGTGTAAAAGCTATATATTTACACTAAGAAATTAACATCTTCAAATTATGTGACTTTAAAAGTTTTTTGCATAATACGAAGCGGCGCTCCGGAACCCAACGGATTCCGTTTTCCTAGTATAAGGGGACAAAATTATTGATTATCACGTGCCCTGTGACGAATTAAAATAAAGTAACATTATTAAAAGTTCTGAAAGTTTCATGTTATAAAACCAAGGTATTGAATTTGTGTGGTCTTATATAGAACTATACGAAAAATTTCACAAATTAGTATACTGATACAAATTATATAGAAACTAAATAAATACAAGTTGTGGATAAATGATAAAAATTAGATTGACAATTAAATTAATTAAAGAGAGAATATTACAATTAAAATTTTAAGATGCTATCATGCTGATCCTGACACAATCATCTTGACTTCCGCGTTGAGCAACAGGCATAAGAGTAGGTTGATGGCCAGATGAAGAAACCATTGTACATATTCTATAATAACCAACCGGTAATGGACCAACATCTTGAGAAAGGATATTGTTTATAGAAACATTGTTCAAAGCTTTAAAGGAAGCAAATATTTTTGGATCTGGAGCTACGAGATTATCATGATTCAATTGCTGAATGGTGATGTGAGAATGGCCTTGGATATTACCAGTGTTGTTATTTACTTTTTGAGGAGCCAGGTAATAGTTAGTTGCAGGATTATCAAAGAATCCAGTATCAAGACCGATAACATGAACAGATACGGTGAAATTTTGGTTTGCAAAGAGAGAAGCTTCGTTTGGAGGAAAGATTATTAATGAGGAAATCATATGGTCGACATCTGGAATTTCACCCTGAACAGTACTAGAGCATGAGCCATTCTTAGCTTGTGTACCATTTGTCGCACCAAAGCGACTAGTATCACAAAAGTTTTGGGCGTTTGAAGAAGTAACAGTTAATGCCAAAACGATTAAGAAGAGAAAGGCGAATCGAGAATTCATTTTTTTTTTAAATAAAAAGTATAGAGTATTATTTACAAAATTTGGTATAGTAATTCGTAAATAAAATAAAAGATCCAACTAAATGATTATTTATTAATCACTAAAAATTTTTTAACGTATGAAGAAGACCAAGGAAGTCAGGTTTTTATAGAGGATCTAATAATTGCGTATTTATTTTTATAAGTATAAATAAAAATCTAATATAATAAAATTAATAAAGATTTTTTATATCTAATATTTTTTATTTTAACAATTTATCACGATAATATGTTTGTCGTGTTTGTGTAGCTGAAAGCCATGTGAAAAACAGGCATTCACTAAATGTATTTTTAATTGTTTCTATTATATAATAAGTTTAACTTTTTAATATCATGAATAATGTGGCCTACTTAGGCCATACAAACTTATTCTATATGATCGATTTTCATATCCTGGCCAGGACAGCAGGGCGGGAATTCAAAATTTTTAATTTTTTTAATATAACAATCTCTTTTTGTATTGATCTATCGTAATATAAATACCACCTAAATGCTAATCAGCAGGATACTTTATCACCCTTCAATGTTTTCCGATCAGGCCAAACTTTTGAAAAAAAAAGATTTACCGTTTGTCCGATCGAATGGTGATTTTCCCAGCAAAGTTCCCATATATATACGATTCAATGTAAAAAATAACTCGAGTTATTTTGGCAGTGATCATCTGCCAAGTAATCGTCGTTATTTGGCAGCTTACGAATCACTAACAAAAACTCGTCGTAAACTATCGGATAACTAGGGTCGTGTTACATCAATTACAATTTCACATTAGGGAGATAAAATAAGTGATATATTTACGTCAAAATATGACTTATTGTCCGAAGCGTAGCGGAGGACACTCTGTTTTTACGTCTGCCGTTGATCAATAGTGTCACGTGCATTCTTTCTGTTCGTTTCCGCATCTTTGATTGGCTGTCAATCATACTTCGGACTCATAACGGTTCCCGTTTTCCTAGTTTGCATAATTGTTTATCAGTAATAATCCCCTGTCACACTAAGTATCACTCATGACTATATTTTTTTTAATGCTTTATGCAAACATAACTTTTTAAATTGCTATATGCTGGGCAACGTGATAGATTATAACACGCAAAAAGTAAAAACGATAAAAAAAATCAAAAGTGAAATAAAAAAGTAAAGCAAAGTTCAAAAATAGTAAAGCACAGTACGAATATAAATATGAAATTGCGTCCGATTAACATCTAGTGGCATGCAGTGCACATTACATATAAGTCTTGGAGCATAAAATTTTCTTAAATGTGCACAAAACAAATAGCTCCAATATACATAATTTAAGCGGATTCGGAATTTCCTAATTACATCAGGGTTAGGGTATAGGTGTTTTTATGATAAAATCAACCCCGAAATGCAGGTTTTTATAAAAATCCTGAATCCACTTAAATTTCATTTCCACTTACAACATATGGGGGTGAGTCAATAGAAATCAAGCAAATTGTTTTTATTTTGTTTTGATTGAATTTTTTTTTTAAACTTCAAATGCTAATAACTTAACAAAATTTGATCAAATTCAATAAAAAATTTTTAAATAAATTCCATAAGTTTATAGAATTGGTTTAAAAAATTTTTTATTAAATTTGATTATGTAAATTGTTAAGTTATCATTATTTAAAGTTTTAAAAAATTTACTTAGAAAAAATTTGCTTGATTTCTATTGGGCCTTTCCAAAGAGTATTTACTAGTAGATTTGTAGGTACAAATTTTGTATTATAATGTATTGTATTGACCTATGTGCATGCACTAACTTGGAAGTAAAATAAAAAATATATTATGCGATGGAATAAATTTGGAAGCTCTCATAATATATTTTTGATTTTACTTCCAAGTTAGTGCACGCGCATAGGTTAATATAATACATTATGAGCCTTTTCAAAGTGTATTTACTAGTAGATTTGTAGGTACGAATTTTGTATTATAATGTATTGTATTAACCTATG